TAATAAAACCTATAAAATATTCTTATGATTATAATGATTTTTTCATATTTTTTTGAGCTTTGTATCATTTTTAATAATTATTTCTATTATTATGAGGGTATTTATGTCAAAAACTGACTAATTATTGTGAAGGTATAAAGAGACAAAAACATTTCTATTATGGTCTATTTTTCCAATTTCCCCAAATAAATTTATGCATATAGAAACTACTCAGTGTTTCTTATATATGATAATATTTATTTTAAACAAATATTAATTAATTTTTATCATTAAATTTCAAAACTAATTTTTAAAACTATAATTAAATTACTCAATATTTCATATATCATATGATTAAACAAAGTAAAAAATTATCAATTTTAATTTTTAAAAATATTTCAAAAATGCGTTCAAAAATTAGAACCACCAACTAATCTAATTCCTCTAATTCTTTAACAATTAACAATTTTCTACTTTTTTATTACTTAGAAAACCTTATTTTCACTATAAGTCTATGTTTTTCAATTCAAATTATCACAATGTTTTGTTTTATATTTTGTTCTGACTTTGTTAGTAATAAATTTAATGGGGGCATTTTACTAGATACTTTAGTAGAATTATTTATTTACTAATGATTTTGAAATGTAACTTTTTCTTAAAGCAAATTAAATACTTTTTGTTAGATTTTTTTTCGAAAAATTATTTGCTTATATTATATACATGCAGACTATTAAGTTGACTTCTGAGCTTTTAGGGCCCAATAATTTTGACTGGACTTCTTTTTGCATTCCTCCTAATTCAAACCCATTTGAGCTCAGTTACTTTTAGTCCTTAAGTTTCAAGTTTTTTTTTTTTCCAATTATTTCTGTACTTTCTGATTTCTGTCATTGGCTGTGCATCTCACCTTTTGTTGTATGGTTCTAAAGCTTAATATTTGCAGATGAAAAAATGATAACCCAACCTACCTTAGAGTTTAACATTTTGAGTTTGGAGCAGATTACAAACCCAATCTAGCATTCAACTGAGAAGTTGTGATCAGGATGTATACCAGCAGGTGTACAATCTTATCTTTACAATTTTCTCTATTGAGGTTTTCTAGTAATGGAGCTAAACATATTAAAGTTCAGATAGTTAAAAAGTAAGGTACATTAATGAAGAAGACGAAAGTCCATTTTCATCAGAAAAAGGATTTTGTCTTTCCCAATAACAAATAACAAAACAAGGCCAATGCAAGCTTGTGGAAGCAGAGAAACTAAAACTTGATTAATGTTCAGACTATAATCAATACTACTTGCTACAAAGGCTTGATATGTCTCTAACTCATCATACAAAGTCTATACATTTATCACCTAACCTTAAAAGTTGTGCAAATCACCAAAGAAAATTCTTCATCCCAAGGCCATTGCAAGTAAAGATGAGCTCCTTGTATCGGTCAAATAGCTCCTGCAACAAAATGATGCAAGATTTGATCAAAATTCAAAGCTCTCTTAAATGAAAGAAATAACAAATTTATTCTACACACCATGTTGTGCTCATAGACACGACGCATCCTTCTCTTGTCGTACTCCTGCCTTGTAAATGGGTCGCTCAACACTGTTCCAATTAATAAACAAAAAAAAAAAAAATCAAACCTTTACTTTATAAGACACATAACCAAATCGCTAAAATGAGATTCCTTTCCCCTAAAGCATACATACTATAGCATCACTCTCCATTTCTAAGCCTAACTCAACACGAAACAGTTGTCATTATGACACAAACTACATTAATAAGACAAAAGAGAAGCCAAAACCTTGATAAGCCTCGTTGATTTCTTGAAACCTAGACGTAGCAGAATCCTCTTCTTTAAGTTTATCCGGATGCCACTTCTACAAACACACAACCAAACACTATCTCCATCATTGTCTGAAAAAATGGAAAAAAAAAAAAGACACAAAATTGGGGAAGGGAGAGGAGAAGGAACCAGTGCAAGGCGGATGAAGTTAGAGCGAATCTCATCATCAGTGGCCTCGCTGTTCAGCTCAAGAACTTTATAATGATCCTGCAACACACCCAATTTTCACCATTAGAACCAAACCAAACAACATGTCGAGAAAATGTAGTTCTTTTATTATTACCTTGTAGTTCTCAAAATCGAAATCGAGAAAAGAGCCATGGCTTTCTCCTCCCCAATCTGAACACCACATTCGTGTGAACAAACAACTCTTCGTCCTCGTCTTCTTCTTCAGTTCACGAGTTTCCTCTCACTCACGCACTTCGAAACTAAAAAGATAAAAAGAAGCTTAAAAATAAAAACATTTTCTTAAATTTTGCATTTAGAACCCTAAAGTTTTAGTTTATTATGAAGTAATGACCTTTTTTAGCAGGTTCCAGAATAAATAAGACACGGCTGGAGATAAAAGCAGTTGATGGCTTTGTCTCTAACCACTAGAATCGGATCTTCCGTCTTAATACGGCGTCGTATCCCCTTCGTAGGTGCGTTTTGCGTGCTAAGCTTGGGTTTATCTTCCCTCTCATCCTCGTCTTCGTTTAAACCGGGTTGTGCACAGTCTCTCTCTTTCGGCACTCTCTTAAGGTTCACCATCTTTATCGAGTTTCTTGTTTGTTGTTTCTTGTGTATAGCTTATGAACATTTGAGATTGTTGTTATTATAGGTCTAAGTTTAGTAGTAAGGCTTCTTCATCATCATCGGGTGGAACGATCAAAATGGAGGAAGGGAGCAAAACTGTGCCTAGCATTGTTGTCTACGTCACTGTTCCTAACAGAGAAGCAGGTTCTTTATTTTCTCTTCTATCTCCAGAAGATTCTTATTCATTGTTAGAAAAAATGAATGAAAATGTTATAAAGTCATATTTGCTGATGTCATTGTTTCATTGGGCAGGGAAGAAGTTGGCTAATAGCATAGTCCAAGAAAAGCTTGCTGCTTGTGTGAACATTGTACCTGGTACTTACTCACTCTTTAGCCTTTTGTTTCCATTACAACTATCTGTAAGTGGAGTTGACAGATCTTCCATCCATTTAGTCTTTTTGGGTTTCTGCCAACAAGATTTCGTAGAAGATTTTCTTTGTTAGAGTAGTCACTTGGTGGTCACCATTTTTTTGCTATTCATAAAAAGGCTATAAGATGGTTGTCCATGCTTTATACCATGTTGATATATATCTTACTTCTTTGCTTGCTTCCATGTTCTGTGATTTTGAACATTAGTAGTTATGTATCTACAAGATGCTTATGGTTGATCGCTTGGATGCAGGTATTGAATCGGTGTACGAGTGGGAAGGAAAGGTAAGTAGGGAGCAACCCTTGCAAAATCTTTCTGCATTGTTATTTGATCTCAATCCTATCTCCATGACCAATACAGATAATGTTTAACAAAGATCTCTAAAGCTTAAAGAAATACTAGAAGATTTCAGATATATAACAATTATCAAGCGCAGACAAGACTTAATGCAACTGTGTATCACGGATTTTTTTGTTGTTTCTGCATGCTAATCTCTGAACACATTGCATATAATCATATACTCCTTTGACTTCAGGTTCAGAGTGATTCCGAGGAGCTCCTGATAATTAAAACAAGGCAGTCCCTTCTAGAGTCTCTAACCGAGCATGTCAATGCTAATCACGAATACGAGTAAGCATTTTTTTCATATTGTATCTCAAGAATATTAGTTTACAACTGTTTAGTGCCTTTGTTTTTTCTTTTAACAAATCACACAAAGCTAAGTAAGTGAACATTGTTTTTCTTTTTTTTTTTTCTATAGTGTGCCAGAAGTTATTGCATTGCCTATAACTGGTGGGAGCGACAAGTATCTGGAATGGTTGAAGAACAGTACAAGGAACTGAGACGTCGTAGCAGCCCACCATCAATGGCTTTGGAGTTTTGGTATCTCAACAACCTATGTGTTCCAAATAAAGAGCTTTCCCCATCTTTGGATAATGGCATAGTGTGTGATGTGTAAACTAAGACCAGTTCACTTAGTGTGTAATAAAATTTCTACTCATTTATGTGAACATTAGCAAAAAGTTACATAACCAAGTGCCATCACCACAGCATAGAGAAGTGTTCTTACAAAGAACATTAGGTTCTTTTTAAGCTACAGAATCAGTAACTGGCAGCTGAGACTGTTGTTCCTCCTGAGTCTGACTCTTCTTCTCAGTTTTAAACTGTCCGTAAAAGTAAGAAACGAAGCCCCAAAGGGAAAGGAACAGAGATACACCTTTCCCCGCCTGAAACTTCTCCTTGAAGAAGAGGACAGCCAAGACCTCTGTCAACGGAAGCAGAGCACTGATCAGAACTCCAGAGACGAGAGACGATGCACAGAAGATCATCCCAATAGACCCCAAGAAAAACCCTTGCCAGATTATAGCCGTGAACACAACCACCACACAGTAATACGTAGACCCTCCAAGCTTAAACTCTCTTGCTTCTCTTCCTAACTCCTGCACATGAAACAAAAAGTCAAAAACACATCCCAAGTTCTTGATTCTTGAAAAATCAAGATGATAAAAGGCTCCTCGACCTTGAAGTCACCATCAGCTACCATCCCAACGAGGCAGAAGCAAGTGGCGACAAAGCACAAGACCAACTGCATCTCAAGCACAAGAGTGTAGCTGATTCTTTGACTAGCTTTCTTGTAAGTGAGCTCCACAAGCGGCAGCACAAACGCGTAGAGAACAGCTGCAGCAACGGTCATTAGAAACCCGATTATATACTCCTTGTTCGTCTCCTTGGCGAGCTTGTCACCGTCTGCGTGAAGGGCAAGGCTTCCAGCACCGAGAGTGAGGAGAACGACGGCGTTTATAGTGAAAGGTGTGAACCTTTGCTTGACCATGAAGAAAGCGAAGAGAGCAGTGAAGGCTAGTTGAGAGGAGATGAGGAGAGAAGAAGTGGAAACAGGGAGGTAAGCTAAACCATAAGCGTAGAGGTAATTGTCAAAGCCAATGAGCAGACCAATGAAGACAGAGGCCAAGAACAGAGGAGGTTTCATGATGAAAAGTGTAGTCTTTCCTTCTTGTTCTTCTTGTTGTTTACGGTGACGGATGAGGAAGGAGAAGAGAAGAGCGAGGAGGATGATGGGAGAGCCTGAGGTTTGGAGGAAGCTTGAGAACCAGATACGTTTTCCACCGTTTATGAAGTAGAGACGCGTCATTAGAGGACCTCCACAGTTTCCTATCGCCAAGATTATGGTGTTTATGATCACAAGAACCGTCTTCATCTTCATCTTTATCATCTTCTTGATCGTTACATGGGTTTGTGTGTTTAAGTGCCTCTTCTTGTAGTGTCTATAAACAAAGCATGAAGAGAAAAGAGTGACGTCAAGTTAATCATTTACTTACTAGTTCAACTTGATATGGTGTTGGGAAGCGTATGAAAAGCCGGTTTACCGCGGTTTGATTTACGGTTTGGTTACGGTTTTGGTTCAGTGGTTTAATAAAATATTAATACCAATACATCGACTTTATTGGTTGGTATATCTTCAGCCAATCTAAAATATATTGTATGATAACGAGATCACTAAAGTCAAAGTCTCCCTCCCACCTTCTAGTGGATTGCCTTTACGATCGATCACACGTGACAATATAATAATATTACACGTAGAAAAATGAGACAACATATTGGGTGACTAATCATTCAGAAAAAGACAGCATGAGTCTTTTTTATGTGAATTACACAAAAATATTTGGAACTTTTCTGTCTCATAGTTCTTTGCTTTTTACTTTAGTTTAGAAGTTCTAGGTTTCGGATACTGTTGGCATCATCAGGGCATCAGCAATGTACATAATAATGAATTCGAACCTTTTAAAAGATTGGATGTCAAGAAAAAGCCTTTTAAAAGATTAAGGCTGACTCCACCACATTTAGCATAGATCATTTGAGGATTAGTCTCAGTTTTATTCATAAGCTTCGAATACATGTAGATAAAAAAAATATGCAACCTCAAAAGTAAGGGGTGAATGGTGTGAATCAACAGTTGCGTGGATCCATCAATAGCTAAAATAAATTCTCTCATTGAATAACTTTAAAACGAAAACACTGTATTAAAAGAGCATTGTAATTTACATGAGTTTTTTTTTATAAGCATCATTTATAAGAAAGAACGTTAAGGATAGTCTTAACAGTTTTGTAACATAAGGTAAAAGAAGTGTATAAATATGGAACTACTTAACCTCATTAATAATTGTTCTTTGAAAAATAAATCTAATTAAGAAAATGAAGACAATTGTTTGTTATTTTACTCTTTTGCTCTTTGTTTCATCGTGTAAGTTTTTTTTTGGTTAACTAAGATCAATCAATATGTATCATATATTATCATTCTCCAACATATTTTAAAATTGTTTGATATCCTGTTACTACTTTTTGCAGGTCTATGGAACATCGAAGCAAATTCTGATTTAGAAGGCCGCCACACTCTTTCTTTTAAGCATGCAGAAAGTCCTCAAACATTCGACGATAGGGCTGAACATCTTTTTTGCTATGGATGTTTATTTCGTTGTCATAGAAGGATGGGCCAGATGAAGAGCTGCAACAATTTTATTTGTAAATGTCAGCTTCGACTTGATGTTTGACGTTAATTTTAATTAATAAAATAAACAAACTATTTTCTTTGTAGTATTATTCAATCCGGAAATGGACCAATTCCTACCCAGAGCCATTGTGGTGAACGAACTAATTGACTTTATCAATTCCTACGTGAACTAAACTTGGCCGACAGTTTCATTGACCTAAACGTCGAATGAGTCGAATCTATATGTATTGTACAACAACACACAAGTGTTTCAATTTTTATTACAGAACATGGTACATATGGTTCTTTGCAACATTACAATCCTTTGATATTCTACAAGCTAATCGAAAATTTCAATTAACTGAAACTCTCCTAATACCCGATCAAAGAGGAGTACCACACATAAAAATTAACAAATTTCAACTAAGAAATGAACGACACCAACCAACAAAAAAAAGAATTGATCCTAATTCAAGAAAAAAAAATAACAACCACAAAAAAAGAAAAGAAAACATTACCCTATCTGTCTTCCCCTTTCTTATTCCTAACAAAAGCATCCTCGTTTGTTCTTCTGTAATACCAGATTCTATTGTTCCCTCCTTTCACAAGGAAGGGCATAGAAGAATCCAACATTACGGTTCTATAACCGTAAAAGAAACCCTTTAAATCTCATCATTAAACAAACACAAAAGGAAGCTAAATGGGTATCAAGTTCTTGTTGATCCTTTGCCTCTTGACCCTAGCAGTAGTCGCTCAATCAGCCAATGTCACGTGGTCCCTGACAAAATCTTGTGTCAATGGACAAGGTTGCATTGGAGACGATGATGGGCTTGAATCCTTGATGGATTCTGAGACCAACCGGAGGCAACTAGCCGCAAGGCGAAGGTACATCAGTTACGGTGCACTCAAGAAGAACAATGTGCCATGCAGCCGTCGTGGCAGGTCTTACTACGATTGCAAGAAGAGGACAAGGGCTAACCCTTACAGGCGTGGGTGCAGCGTTATCACGCATTGCTACAGGCATGCTTCTTAATTTGAATAAGATTATACAAACGATATGAGTAAAGAAGCGAGAGTGCAAAGAATGCGTAAATAAATAAATAAAAAAAGATCACTTGTTTCCTCTACGTACGATTCTTAACTTTGTGTTTCTCTTAATGATCTTCTGCCTTTTATTTATGATCATAATGCATATACGCTCAGTTTATCTGTTGGGAGCTGAGAAAGTAAGAGTTTGATATCCAAATATTACCAAACATCAATAAAATATATAAGATCTTTTTCAAATTTTGTATTTTCTGTGTTAACTTCTTTTGTTTCAGTCAAAACCCACAAAAATATTAAGATATTCTTCGAATATTCTTATATGTAGATTTAAATTAACTTTTAAAAATAATGCTAACATAATTTTAAAAGATTTTGTTAACAAAATCCTTTATTTTATCCCTAATATCTATATTAAGATCATTAATAGTGAAAAAAGACTATTGACTCAATGTGATTCTGCAAGAACTCTTTGTACTATTGGTTAAATATACATTTTAAAGTTTCTTTTACAGATTGGGTTTTCCAGTTCTATTATTCCATATAGTTTTAGTGATATACACAAACATAACATTCCAACATATATAGATTGTATATTTATTTTTTGTTAATTAGAATTTTCTTATTTTTCGTTCTATATTTTGTTTAGAATTGAGCACATTTTATTATCAAGCATATATATATGAGAATACACTGAGCACACCAATATTCTAGCGACACATTATACAGATAATTAAATCACAACATTGTCAGCATTATCCTATATATATTAGAAGCCAACATCCTATATGTAACTATAATTATATTTTACAAATCAAAGTCCTAACCTAAGATCCAATGAACACCCTGATGTGTCCGAAGTAGAAAGATCCTGTGTTGTTGCAGGAACATTCAGATCGAACGCACAACCGACCACCGTCTCCTCTTCTTTCTCCCAGTGACATCTCATATGACCTCCTAAAGCCTGACCACTGGTGAACACTCTAAAACAGATATTACACTTATGATGCCCCATAAACGTAACGAGCTTACCCTGATGATCTTGATCACTAGGAGTAGTAGTAGTAACCGTCATATGATCATCGGCCACGTTCGTTATAGCGAAGCATCCTTTAACGTTCTTGTGACTAGCTCTGTGTCCTCCTAAAGCCTGATGTGATCCAAACACTTTCTTGCAACCTCCACACTCGAACCGTTCACCACAACTTGATGATGATGATGGTGTGGAATTAGCCAGCATTAAGAGACAAGAAGCGGCTTCATAGTCTTCCTCGGTCATAAGGGAGACCCAATCTGGTAATCTCTGGTTCTGGTTTGAAAATGAAGCCTGGGTGGGGCCACGGTGGTTAGGAGGAGGGTTGATACCACGCCATTGACGCTCAGGGTGACATCTCATGTGACCAAAGAGAGCTTTCCATGACCAAAACGTTTTGCCACATTCGGTACATGGACGTGTGATTTTGGGGGCATTAGGGTCTGGCTTTCTAGGGTATTTTGGCTTTGGTGTGGGTTTTGGTGAAGAACTAGAGGGAAATGCAACGGTTCTGGTGCGTTTCTTTCTAGGGCTCTGGTTGTAACTTGGAGATAAAGCAAGTTGGAGATTTGGATTAGGGTAGATAGGGATGATTGCGTTAGAAGTAGGGGTACGTGCAGTGTGAAAATTGGGATCAGAATCGGAATTATTGGCGGTCATTGTGACGGGAGAAAAGAGAAGAAAAAAAGGATAGAAGTTGGAGAAAAGGTTGCTTAAGTAGAAGGAGACGGTTACTTGAGGAGGAAGTTATGGAGGGACAGGGAGACAGTTAAGTAACTGCTGTTTCAATACCTTGTAAATTACGTTAAATAAGAAACATTATAAATGGGAGAAAAAAATGGACATAACACTGAAATTTTGGACGACGTTTGTATTGTATGATTGTATCTTTTTGTGCAAGTATGATCGTATATATTGACTATATCTTCAAATTTAAGTCAAAAATGTATTTAGATAATCCTTAATATCATAATCCAAGACCCCTTAAAGTCACTTTGTCGATCCTTTTTGCATTTATAAAAGTTAGACTAAACAAACTTTTCTCACATGGTATCGCCATTGATCCTTAATATCATAACCAAAGATCATCAGTTATAAAGACATATTTTATTGGGGGTTCTTAAAATGAGATTCTTAATTCATGATTTGGTATTTTTTTTTTCATTTTTTTGCTTCTTTCTCTCTTATTTAAGAATCTATATTTAATTTTTTTTAGTTAAAAACAAAGAAAAGTATCTCAACCAAAACTAAAAAACTCTATCTAAGAATTTCCAATAAACATGGTCTAAGACCCTGCTTGTTGTGTCAGAGGTCTGGTGTGAACAATCGTTGGAACAAAAATAAATATATGATGTGACTCAAATTTTGAGGGATTACAAAATTCGGCCTCAAAACTCTAGGAATCCAAAAAAATAAAAAATAAACCAACTTCCCAACATTTCTACACATCTAAATAATTTATTAATTAATTCAGCTCACAAATCTTTATGCAACTGAAAGTTGAGATCATATTCTGGTTATAAGAGACTTCGAATGACAAATGGAAAGAATAAATGTAAGATCACCCCATCAGTGAATGATGGGGGAGGGGTTCAAACAAAAAAAAATATTTTTTTAATTTTTTCCTTTACTTTTCAAAAAAAAATAATTAAAAACTAACTAATCGCGGGCCGCCACGTGACGTGGGCCCGCGAAATCCCTATGATACCGGTTCGTCGGAATGAGTCTACGAGGGATGGATTCACAGCATATATTATATTTTAACTGATTTTTCTAGGTTTTTGAACCCATGAACCCCTTTACATATCTCAATGGGCATAAATGGAAAGAATAAATGTAAGCTTTTGATCCTTTTCTCTTCTTTACTGTCTTTGTTAAAGTGAATATGTTACCATAAGCTTGTTCCACTTTAATGTTTATGACATCTTATAATGTTTGTATGGTCTTGTGAAGAAACAGAACATTTATTTATTTTTGGTCCTGATGGGTAAAGAGAATCAGTTGGAGGCAGCAAACCGTGGAGTCAATGATCACAATTGTCCACCAGTCAAGAACGAGGAGCTAGCTGTTGAGGCTCTTTACAGTACACACAGTGACTCTGGTTTGCCAACTTGTCGTGTATGCCACTCTGCAGAATCCGACAAACGAGGAGATGCTGCCTTGGGGATCACTCCTCCGGTTCTAGAAGCTCGTAAAAGCAATGCAGACCAAACCAGTGGTGATGTCAGCGAAGCTGAGGAGAAGAGTTGTTACATTGATATTGAAATGGGAATCAAGCAGCATCAAGATGCATTGATTGAACTTGGATTCTACTTGCTACTGGTTTACTCACTGTTACTTTGGTCTGGCTCATTACTCCTCGTGTTGATAAGGTATGTATGTCATTGATCAAACCATGTATCTAATATCCCTCTTTGATTGGTATACGATTAACGGTTCTTATTAATTTGCGCAGAAAACTGCTAGGAGTGGAGTTCATATACTTCTTGGTGGTCTATGTGCTTTAATAGTAGTCATCTTCTTCAGATTTATAAGTAAAATTATCATCTCTCTTTACAGATTTTTCACGTCTCTCCTATTTGTTAATCTTAAAAAACATGATAACAGCTTGTGGTCACTAGAATTAGGTATGGTCCTGCACGCTACTAGGTGATCTTATCCATCTTCTGGTTTCTTGTGTTTGATGTTTGGGCTTCTCGTTCTAATGCTCACAATTACACTTGAGTACATCTTCACCATCATCTCTATGTTCTTTGTAACCTACTCTTGGGAGACAAAAGAAAATGTACATTGCTTCATCAAATAAAAATAAACTTACTCATTGACTATGTAGACCAAAAAAAAAAAAAAAATACTGATTGATTATGATATATATATATATATATATATATTATGGAGAAAAAGTCCTAGATAGCATCAAACCAAGTTTTTGACAAATATAGACCACAAGGATCAAAATGACCAAAATGTTTCATTGAAGATGTAAATATACACTTATACTCTTGGATTAATTAATTCAAACCTTCAGGTTTAGAGTGGGGTGAATTTTGGGATTAATGTTTAAAATTTTATAAAATAAAAATAAATACTAAAAATTTGAAAAATTATTTCAAAATGTATTTTCGAATTATAGAAAGAAAATTTCAAAAACAAAATTCCAAAAAAAAATTATAAAATATTTCGAATATGAAAACATGTAATCTGAAACTAAAAAAAAAACCATTTTTTATTTTTGTTATTTTTATTTATTTATTTATTTATTTATTTGTATTCATATATCTAGGGTAATAGGGTCTTTTCACCTATTAAATGAAACATTTTATTCACTTTTTTCCTTAGGGTCTATTTTTGTGACAAAAACTTGAAAATAATCTATTTAGGACAATTACCTTATATATATATATATATATATATATATATATATATATATATATATATATATATATATATGGTTTACAATGGCCACTGTTGCTATTACAGTTCTTCGGTTAACACATCTTTCATCATTGGGCTATAGCTAAAACATTTTTCACATGAAAATCAATACATAAAATTGATATTTGAATAATATGAAATACTTTGAATAAAAATTATTCGGAAGATTACATAAAGTAGATAATCGAATAATTTGGATAAAAATTCTTCGGATGAATCCTTTTCAGATAATTTGGTTTACATAAAATATATATTGCACTAGTATATAATTTATATATTTAATATAAAAATTATATTTAAAAACTTCTGGTAGTCAATTCGGTTTTCGTTTTTAGAAATTTGGTTTACATAAAATAGATATTGCACTACTATATAATTTATATATTTAATATATAAATTATATTAAAAACTTCTGGTATTTAGTTCGGTTTTTGTTTTTAGAAATATAGGATCCTTCGGGTGTTTATGAAATTTGGTTTGTTTTGTCATGTTTATATCGGTTTGGTATGGTTCGGTTAATAGTACTATAAATCTTTTGGGCTTTTCGTTTGAAGAATACAAATCTACAAGATGTGTAGCAGATCACGTATGGGCCTTATAGGCTTGCATTTCTAAAAGCGGGTCGAACATTCGTGCGCATATAATTTGACCCCGAAAGTTCGTCTCCTGCAGTGTTATTTATATTTTCACTACATTCAAAACTGATCATAAAAACTTCTCTGTCCACAGTGGCGGATCTAGGATCCAGATTTGGTGTCAAAATTAATGGGCTTTTAAATCCAAATTAAAAATAAGTAAAAATAAGGTGTCAAAGAAGCTTTGAACTTGGCCTGTTCAATCTGGTGTTCGGTCCGGTTTCGGTTCGAGTTTTTTCGGTTTTCGATTATTCGGTTTATAAAAATTAGCTACCATATTGGAACCATATTTAATTTGGTTTGGTTCGGTATTTATACTACCGGTTTTTGGTTTATTCGGTTTTATACCAAATAACATTATTATTTGATTTAGTTTTATATTATATGAATTTTTTAAAAACAATATTGTCAAAACTATCATTTATTAAAATAATCCTAGGTGTTCATAAATATAAAAATGTAAAATTAACAACAAACAAAACGACCAAAGAGTTTTGTACATCTTTTCTTATTTTCTCTTTGTTCTTCCAACTAAATTACATGGTATAATCTAATTTCACAATTTCTTACAACATGCAAAATCAAATCAAATTTAGATAATAGTTGAAGAAAAGAAAATAAAATTATTAAGATATATATTCATAAGGAATAAAAAAGTAAAAAAAAAGATTATTCCAAGAAAATAATTGGTTATATAATGTATATATTTATATATTTTTTCTTTGATCGGTTTTGTTCGGTTTATTCGATTTTATCGGTTATAAACCTAACCATATCCAAATCCTACGATTTTTATAAAATCATATACATTCAGTTTATATAGTATATATCATATCTAAACCATATTGTCTATTTCGGTTCGGTATTACCATATTGAACAACCTTACTTTGAACCCAGGTTTTAGGGGTGTCAACATCAGTGAAATCACCACCATAGCTGTTGAATTTTACTTGTACTAGCTGAAAAAAACCATATATATATATTTTTTAATGTGTGTCAGATGACACCCCTACTAAACAAGTTGATCCGCCACTATATGTCCAAATAGATAAATTCAACAAACCATGTAAACTATAATTAGTGTTAATTTTTAATAATGTAAACAAAAACATTGGACGACAAATGTTCATGTGTACTTTAGAAATAATGAAACAATTTTATAGAACCAAACATTAAAATAAACTTATTTCTGCAACAGTTTCATATTTGAAAAGAAAATAAAGAGATAAATATGAAACGTCTTAGCATTAAACATTAAAACATTAAAGCCAAATATCTTACAAAGCATTAAACATTAAAACATTATAGCCAAATCTCTTACAAAGTATTTACTTAAAGAAAAAGAAAGGAGATAGGTAACAACAAAGGAACCATGAGCACTTAGAGCTCTTCATAAAAAGAGATATGCTCGGTATCGATGTCAGAAGGATCATGGTAAAATTCTGCTGAGCCACCAATAGGGATAGCAACAGCACAACCAAAAGGCGCTTCAAAAGTTATGAGGTTCCTGCAGTAAATCGATCCACCATCACCAACAGTAACGATTCCCCCAAATTCAAAATCAATACTCTCACGATCAATAACGAGATGACGAACATAGTCCGAAGACGAATGCCAAGAGGAACCAGCAATAAATGTTGTTCTTCTGATATTCAATTAACTAAATAGGAAATGAAGTACATAATCAATATGGAATGAATAAATGTAATATCTAATAAAACTTAAAGAGTTTACGAAAACCTATGTACAACGGATGCACAACAAAAAAACAGACAGTTTGCCACGCAGGCTAAAAGCAACCGTCATTCATCCTTTATATAAATCCAGAGTTAATTAATTGGTTTACATAGTCTTACGAACCTGTTTATGTTATTGACAAAAAAAAGTTTATGAAAACAATGTTAAACGAAGAGAAACTAAAATAGCAACAACACCTATTTCGCTATTTTCACAAATCTTTATGCAATTAAAAGATGGGACATATTTGAGTTATATTAGGCTTCTAATGATGACAAGTGTAGAGCCTATATGTAATAAATGTAGTTAGTATGATTATCATTTTTATGATCTGTATAGATTTATTATTATATTTTAACTCACTATTCATATTCATTTATATTTATTATTACACTTTGACTAAATCTTCCTAGCTTTCAAATTTTTAAAAACGGTCTAATACATAAATATCTGATTGGTAACTAAAACCTAACTATATAATTTCCAGTTTTTTGTGAAATGAAAAAAGACTTCTCACACTAAATTACACCAAATATTCAACGCATTTTCTTTTCACGTGTGGCTCATGAAATTCGTACATATTATACAATTTTCTGTTATTTTTTATGAAAAACTAAATCTAAAACTAAAATCATGTAGATTTAAACAAAAAAAAATGTCGGACATATTGAAACACCAATTCCACACTAAATTGCAATAAGTTGCTCTTCGGATATTTGTTTACAATAGGAATTTAAGAACATAATGAATCTGGAACAAATAAATGTAATCTCTAATAAAATTTAAATAGGTTTACGAAATGAGGAGAAACAAAAACAACAACATCTGATTTCTTTCTCTTTTCTCAAATATTTATGCGAAAGATGAGACCATATATTCTAGTTATACTAGGCTTCTAATGATGACAAGTGTAAAACATATCTATAATAAATGTAGTTAGTATAACAGTCATAAATTTATGATCTGTATATATTTATTATTATATTTTGACTAAATATTCATATTCATGCATATTTATTAGTATACTTTGACTAATTTTTCTTTCCTTTTAATTTTTTAAAAATTTGTTAATACATAATATTTGGCTGAGAAAAACTTAACTGTATAATTTCAATTTTTTTGTGAAATGAAAAAAAAAAGAATTCTCACATTAATTCACACCAAATATTTGACGCATTTTCTTTTCACGCGTGATTCATTAATTTTTTTAAACACTGGTTAATTATGCATTACAAACTATGAGAAATATTATATAGACGATATTACAACCGACAATTCTATATGTCTTATGCGGATTCACGTTTGATTGCATCATCTTAAACCGTCTTATGAGATCAATTCCTAACGATACATTTTGTGCCATGTTGAAGATCTCTTGTAAATTTTTTTCCAATAATCTACATAATTTTCCATTCACCTTCTCCGAAATTTAAATCATCTTAGTGTGTAGAAATTGCATAGATTGGGATTCGAACCCTAAACCTGATGTAGAAACCTTTAAACTGTAACCACACGGTTAAGGTGCTTCCACACTAAATGTAAATTTCTGTTATTTTTACGGAGAAAAAATGCGTAAATTCAGACAAAGAAATGTCGGGCATATTGAAACACCAGTTCCACACTAAATGTTGTTCTTCTGATATTCGATTACAAATGGACTTGAAGAACATAAATGAATCTATAACGACTTGAATAAGTTTATGAAAACAATGTTAAACGAGAATAAACTAAAACAACAACAACAACTAATTTCTTCACTATTTTATTTTGACACATCCTTACAATTGAAAGAGGAGACCATATTTTGGTTAACAAGTGTAGAGAGCATATATTTGTAATAAACTCAGTTAGTATAGCTATCATCATACTTGTGATTTGTATAAATTTATTATTATATTTTGACTAAATGTTCATATTCATCTAAATTTATTATAATACTTTGACTAACTTTCATTCCTTTTAAAAAAAATTGTTTAATACAATATATCTGATTGATAAAAAAATAATATAAATTTCAGATTTTTTGTGAATTGAAAAAGAAATATTATCACATTCAATCACACCAAATTTGATGGTTTTTATTACCTCTGCTGATTCATGAAACTTGCACATATTACTATGTTCTGATCTTTTATGAAAAAAAAAAAAAATCTGTGAATTTAGACAAAGAAATGCCTGGCATATTGAAAACACCAACAGATTCCACACTAAGCACTCGAGCATATGTTGTTCTTTAGATATTTGATTACAATATAGGACTTGAAGAACATAACTGATGTTTAAATGATTAATTATAACATTCAATAAAACCTGAATAAGTTTATGAAACCCCAATATTAAATAAGGAGTAACGAAAACAACAACATAGATATACGGAGCCATGGTTTTTAGTTAGGCACAAGCAGCACTCGCAAATCTTAGCTTCCAAAACGAAAAAAAAAAAAAAGTTATTAAATAAATATTTATTTATATAATTATTTATTTTAATTAATAAATAGGGTTCATGAGCTTAGGTGGAGGAGGCTGGAGAATCTGAAGCTCGAGTAGAAGTCATCGGAAAGAGATCCAGAAGTTGAGGCTTCGGATCCGTCGGAGTAGACGACGGTGACGGGTGCAAGTAAAACCCTCTCTCTCTTATCTCTCTCTCCTCGACGTCGGAGTCACGTTTCGGGTCGTACTCACGGGACTCGGTAGCGCTAGGGCTCGGAGTAATAGACCCGGAACGAGAAAACGGGCCATGAACAAGAGTAGTGTCAGGGCTGCTGAGAACGAGAGACTGCATGTTGAGGATGCTTGGGGAGAGTCTCTCGGTTAAACCGGAACGTACCGGGTTGATCTTGGGATGGTTCTTGAATTTGCGGCGTTGGTAGATGGTGGAGGAAGAAGAAGAAGAGTGCTTCATGTTGGGGACGGGTCTGAGTGGAGGGAGCGGGTACCTCGGATCCGGGGCGGGTTGGACGGTTGGGTTAGGATCCATGGGGGGTCCGGTTAGCCACCGGACAACTTGACGGTAGGTAGAAGCGCTGCTACGGAGGACACTGATGGTTTCGGGTGTGGTGATATAGGGTTGTCCGGGGTTGTTGACGGTGATGGTTATGATGTTGCTTGGTGAAGGAGGAGGGGAGCTTTGTGAGTCATCTTTGTTTCTTGGTGAGTTCTTCATTGGAGAAAGAGTTGAGAGAAAAATGTTTGTGACTAGAACCTGAAGAGGTGATATATATTTATACTAGTCTAAGAGAATGTTGTCAAGACCTACCGTCCACAGAAAATTCAACAAGCTGGGATGGGGTGTGTTTTTGTAAAATAACGTAATTATCAGAATGAAGTCTTTTTGTTTTTGTTGACTTGAAGTACTTTTTCTCATTACCATAAATGTTTATATTTGGGATTTGATTTTATGGTGCAATATATTATGTAGATATATGGATTTTTCTTTTAGATTAATTATTTATTATTACTTAGTTTAAATGTTTATGCATTTTGGCTTGTTTATAATAGGATAACTGAAGTTATTTAACATTTTTATGTTATTTTAATAATTATTTGTGTATTTTAAAGCTAAAATATTTCCATCGAACCGAAAAACGAACGAATATCCGAAATATTTAAAAATAAGTGTGTATATTTTTCGCACGTGTACTATTTCCAAACATCTTTTCAGTTAAGAAAGTAAAACTAGGGTTCGTCCACTACTGATACAACAACTTAAGAACATGATTATTGAAAGATTTTAAGGGATAAGATTTTTAACAGAATTAAGAGAACGTTTTTAAATTTTAACTAAAAAATTAAGAATCGATTCTTAATTCTGCGAAGAATTTTATTTCTAAGAACTTTCAATAATCATACTCTTAAGATATTAAACTGTTATCTCCAAAAGTAGTTCACTCTTAAAACTGAACAAAATATATAAAATTATATAAGTTAATTCAATTTTTTATATGTACTATCGGAGATACCCAAAATTAGCTGAAAATTCATTTTGAATCAGGATTGGATTGTTTTTTTTCTGACATTAGACAGGTACAAATATTACTATCCGATCGAAACGGAAATTGAACTGAGTCCAGATTATTGTGGATTTCTGACAGTCTGTGGTCTTACTGAAAATAAATTGTTCAAATGGTCAACGTCCTCACGGCAAACTTTCTTTTTTTTTATGGAGTTACTAGCTGCTGTCGTGCGCTGTATGTCGAAGGTGATGATGTGCCTCACTTTTTTCAATAGCACTTTCCATTATTGTAAACGATTTTATTAGACATGCAAAGAATAAAGAATGTTACTTTCTTGGAAAAAAAAGATTTTTTTTAATTATCCACATATTAAGAATACAATGAATGTTTACAATTAAATTTATTATGCACTTTTCAATAATGATTAATCAATAGCATTTAATCAGTTCAAATTTTCTCAATAAATATTTTTAAAAATATATAAAATACTTTAATAATATATAAAATCTACTTTGGTGGAACAAAAACAAAATCTAGAAAATAATACTTTTGGGAAGGGAAGGATTACAACTTTCCAAAACTATATAAATCATCTTCCTTCTGAGACAACTCTGCAATTCAATATCTATGATAGATCTTGTGATGGTTTAGTCAACACAAAATCTGGTTTTCTGACTATTTAAGAATTGAGATGGAAGTGCATCTTGATGGGCTGATTACATTGTAGATACGTTTTAATACCTTCCTATAAATTGACTAAGAATTTGACAAGGGACAGCCTGGACAGTAATCTTTTCTTTCTTAAATATCCGTAATCATTTGGTCAACTTAAATCAAATATCAGTTACAAAAAAAAAAAAAAAACTTAAATCAAATATTAAATCAGATTGCATGCATTGTACAATTCCGTAGAATCGAGTGTGACTTAGCAAGAGTATTTGCATGCTCTGTTCTACTTGGGCCGAATCACATGTTTGGGTTTTAGCAAATTAACGTCCGTGAAGGATAAGTCTTTGTTTCTATATGGAAATGTATGTCTACATTTTCTTTTATGTATATATCATTCAACCGGTCAATATTAGTATATGATTATATGTGATTAGTCTTAGCGACTAATTGAATATCTTAGAAAAATTCAATTTTAGCTTGCTAATTTTATATTTTAAATCATGATTTAGTCATATGATCAACTGCTTGATAGCAAAACGAACAAAAACATGAGATCTATAATCTTGCATTAAAAAAAAAAAAAGAGTGATTCTGCTTTCCGTATATTGGGCCATAACGGGCCAACTCGTTAGCCCAAATACAAGTGGTTTAATAACCCAACATATTCGAGGAAAAGCGTTTACAGAAAGAAAACACTGAGTTCACTGAGAGTACAGTGGCACTGATCGGCTAACAATAATCCTCTCTTTGCTTTCGTCTAAACGAAACTGAAATTCAAATTCAAACTCTAATTTCACGAGGGAAAAAAATATCTAACTGATTTCGTCTCATCGTCTCTCTTCGCTTCTTCTCTCGTCTGTAATGTCTTCCACAAGAAAGAGCACTAAGAGAACACGCCCAGAGCAGCAATCGCTCAAGAAGCAACCAACCAACGCCAAACTCCACGAAGATCTGGAAGATCTCAATGTTTCCAGGTCCGTTTCTTTTGATTTTAAGCTAGATCGTGATTCGCGATTGATTTCTGTGTGGATGAGTGCAGTGATCTCAAGGGAATCAGAGAGAAAGCGCATGAGGATGGACGGAAGAAGAAAGAAGAAAGCATCTCCAGGTTATATATATACATCTCTCTCTCTCGTTACATGTTTCTCTCTGGTTAGAGAATACTTAGAAGAAGAATCAAAGTTAGATTTCATTCTACTGTGCGTATTTTAAATATCTTTCCGATCATATGCATTTTGAATGATTATTGGAGTTGCTAATTGCGATCGTTTCTTCTGCTTGTTATCGTTGTTGGTACATGATAGTCTCTGGATTCTTTGTATCGCGAACAAATTTTATCAACAAGATATAGTTAGATGAACATTAGGTGTTCGATCGTTTGCTCTGGAACTTGATATCGATTGATTTATTGTGCATGTGGCTGTGGTATGATCGAACATCACTTATACTAGTAAGCAAATGTTAATCTGATAGATTTTAAGGGCGTTTGATTATACAGATAGAGAACGTTTAGTTGTTTCATAACTGAAACTTGCTTTATTCTATTTGCATCTTTCTGGCAGTGTTTCCACTGAGGTAAAGTCAAAGATTGATGAGTTGAAGTCTAAACTCGATAAAGAAAGGTATGGATGAGGATCGATGGATGTCTGATATCTTCCATGCTTTGTGAATGTTGGTTTACAAGATAAGATATAAACGGAATCATGCTGATGAGCTCTGTCCTTGGCTTTACAATCTGCAGGCAAAACTTTACCAAAGCACTTACAAAGAGTTCGAAGGAGGTTTGAGAAAAATGATATCGTAAAGGTTTTGAGTCGTTAGAAATCTCACAGAGAGCTGACCTGTTACATATTTGTAGTGTGAAAGTATCTTGAAGGACGAAGCTGCCAAGTTTGAGGAGCTTCATCATAAGTTCATGAAAGAAGAAGCTGATAATATACAGGGTCTGAAAGGTGTTCATTCTATTTCCCTCTTCTTTTTGTGATCTTTTACTTAACCTCGGTTAGTGTTTGGTGTCAAAAGTGTATATCACAAAGGCTTCCTTCAGGAGCTAAGTGGGACATTCATATTACTGAAACTGACATGTGTATCTGCTTGGCAGACACTGTTTTCAAGTTCGAGGAGGACAAAGAGAGGCTCTATATGCGATATGAACAACTAAGTATACCAACTCCTTTTAGTGAGTACATGGTCATAAGATGGCAACATTTTCTCACTTCCACCTGTAAAATAACGTACAGGGAAGAAGGAGAAGACAATGATATCGGACCAGGAGAAGTTCTGCACTGAAATGCTTGCTCAATTGATAGAGTCGCTGAAGAAAAAGAAACGGGTAACTAAATAGCCTTACCATATAATTGTTATCACTTTTATCTTGTTATAGGACTGAACCATGAATTCTTGGGGTGTAGGATGACAAAACTTTCAGTATATTGAGAAAAAGTCTCGGCTCTTTCATGGAGGATGAAGCTTCTGATGAAGAGTTCCCACCTGATGAGTAAAAGATCAACATCTCTCTCACTTGACGCTTAAGAGAAAAGGTTAAAAACTCTTTACCCTTTAACTTTGATCACCCGTATATTTTACCCATCTCTGGAATACTATTTCAAGACTTTGAACATTATAGGCATGACCCTTGTTGTCCTCTATTCTATGTTGGAAGTTTCAAATGAAAGATTAATTATTCGTAGCAGGATCCACCACTAGTTAGCCATCTATCTACCTTTTACAATGTTAGGTTGGTGTTGAGTCATAATATGCGTACACGTGTTAGTGAAATTAAATACTTTTGTCGGGTAGCCTCAATTATTGATAGTCTCGTATTGATCAACTACAATTTAGCAGGGTCTTTAATAAATCGATTTATTGATATGAAACTAGTACCATACTACCATGGTCCTTAGTGGTGGGGCAGAGAAAAATACTCCAAAGGTCTCTCAACCTATTTGTTTTCTAGTGCAAAGAAGCTTCGCGTGAAGCAGGTAAGACGAGAGAGTCGAGCTAGTGATTAGTAGCTTATCAAAAATAATCAGTTTCTATCCAAATTTCTTTTACATTATCCTCACTTATCAAACACTGACTAACCATTTTCTACAACTGGTATGGATAACATATGGGGGATCTTTAAGTCAAGTCACGGAGCTTCTGAACCACAGAAACTGCCTGTTCACGACCATTTCTTACAACCTTCAGCGTTTATAATTGATTGCTCTGGTTGTTCTGAAACTAAGAATGATGCAGACGGGTACTTTTGCTTTGAGTGCAACTTCTATGTCCACAAGGAATGCGCCGAGTCTCCCTTAGAGATCAACCACCCATCTCATTCACACCCTCTCAAGCTCCGTTGGTCCGGACCACCTGGTTATAGTGATAAATGTTGTTGCTTCTGTGGAGAAACCCTTCGTCTTTTGGTTTATCATTGTTCCATTTGTAACTTTAGTTTAGACACAGCTTGCGCGAGGAAGCACGAGATTCCAAGCATTGACTACCCCAAAGCCCACGAGCATAGGCTTCACCTCTTGGCCAAGCGCGTCTCCTTTCCCTGTGCTTGTGGTAAAGACGTCCCTGGAGCTCCTTACTTGTGTCATCAATGCAACTTCATGATTCATAGCGACTGCCTTGTACTCCCTCGTGTGATACACCTCACACGCCACGAGCACCGGATTTCTCGAAGCTACTTCATTGGTCCTGGCAAGTTTTCTTGTGGAGTTTGTCATCTTGAGTTGGATTGGAGATATGGAGGATACCGTTGCTCCATTTGCCCTGATTATGTCGTCCATCTGAGATGTGCAACAAGAGATGATGTGTGGGATGGAATAGATCTTGATGGAATACCCGAAGAAGAAGAGGAGATCGAAAAACCATTTGAAGTGGTAGATGACAATGTAATAAAGCATTTCAGTCATGAACATGATCTCGAACTCAACGAAAGTGGTGATGTTTGCCATGAAACTATCCACTGCAGTGCTTGCGCTTTACCGGTCTATTTCGATCCATACTGCATATGTTCGAGCCCGAGCTGTGATTTTGTTCTTCACAAGACATGCGCTAATCTTCCCCGGAAGCTAAGACATGAGCTACACAAGCACACACTTACTCTACGACCAAACACTAATCCAGATGAGGAGCATGGTTACAACCTATTCAACTGCACTGTGTGTCAGCAGCTCTGCAGTGGCTTCAAGTACGTATGCAGCTCTTGCGATGTCCAGATAGATGTACGATGCACTTCAGTTAAGGAACCGATCATCCATGAAAGCCATCTGCAGCATAAGTTATTCTTTACCTCCCCAGAAGCCAAGTATTGTGGTGCTTGCGGAGAGAATGCATCCACTGTTTTGAACTGCGTTGATTGTGGCTTCTCTTTGGGATATGACTGCGCTACGTTGCCTAAAAATGTTAAGCACAAATGCGACACACATTTTCTCTCCGTCTGCTACGGAGAAGAGGCGAGTGGGCAATACTGGTGCGAGGCATGCGAGAGAGAAGTCGACCCGCGTAGACGATTCTACACATGTGAAGATTGCAGCACCACTCTTCATATCAAATGCGTGATTGGGGAATTCACATTCTGGAGACCAGGGAAGATGGCAATATCAAGTCACGAAGTCGCTATAGTTCCTAATGATTCTGCATCGCGGCCATATTGTTATATGTGCCGAACCCGTTGCGAAGACACATCAGGTGTTATATATGTCTCGGAGGAGTATATATGTTCTTCTAAATGTTTAGAAGAGTATGTAGACTTCAGCATTACATTCTCTAACACTCAGACTGTGGAGATGGCGCTTGATCAGTTGGAATTATTTCGACTTGACCATATTAGCCATAGCTGGAGCATTTTGTAATAACATCAGTTTTCAACTCTCTGTGTGTTCTTTTGAATGACTAATATTTCAAAATAGGCATAATTTTTCATGAAATTAAAGCACGCTTCTTGAGTCTTGATTTTACAAGAAATTTTCAAAAAGAAACGAAGGTGATAATGTTATATAGGTAAGATGAGTTTCTGTTTTCACTTCCAGAGCTCTTCCATAGGGATTCCACTTTCAAGAGCAACATCCCGGAACTGTCTCATCTGTTGAACTGTAGCAGGAGTGGCTCTCGCGTTGTTGAGAGCATTGTTGCTTCCCTGCTGTTTCCATCATTCAACACAACCATGTCTGCTCAAACAGAGCCCTCGCTATACGCTGGACTGTAGAGCTCCTCGTACGCAGTGGCGATCTCTGCCTCTGTCTCGTTTTCTCCTTCGTGGAAAGGCCTTTGCTCGGTTTTATTTATGGCTCATTATAATTTTTGAAAAGTTGCAAACTCCAACTGAATAGTTGATATGATTAAAGATGATTTAGGATAAGGTTACAATGATCAATGAACATATTTTATTCAACACTAAACCTTTTTAACCAGGAGAAAGTCTCTTTTAATCATTTTTACAAACTTGTAGTCCTGCCTTCATATCGCCTTTATGCTCTTCAACCTATTTACATATGATGATAAAAAAAAAAATTATTGGCCTTTCCGCCTTAATGAAACTGCGTACAGTTTTGAGTTTTTTCACTAATGAAAATTTTAGCACAAATGATAACTATTCTACTTTAGAGTTCGAATTGGACAATGAGTTGGAAAATAAATGCCTTTGCACTGGTTTTAAAAGTAAGTTTTTGCAAATTATAAGCTGGCAAAGATTTTTTAAAAAAATGTGTAGCACAAAAAGATCCTACGCATAATTCAGAATTTAACGTTGCTCGTTGCTGTCGTCACGTGGGGACGTTAAGGTTCCTCTGTCAGACTGTCACTTCTCTTCTGTATTGTCTATTCCAAAGTTAGTTCGTTTTAAAAGAAAAACCACACTGAATTTTACACACGTGATTAACAATATATATCACATTCTTTAATATTATATGAACGTTGTTTTATATGTTGATCTTCACTAATATAGACATCATGGATGCTTTGTTCAGTAAGAGTACTTCATGCATATCCGTTTTGTTAATAAAAAAAAGGTATACTTACAATTTTACAAACATGTAAACGTAAGAAAGTTAAGTTCGCGGACAACTTGATTAGCTCAAACTGTATAAGATAACTCTAATCTTCCAACTATGTTAAAAAATACATGAGGACTGCTTGAAGAGTTAGTTCTATCTTGAAGTTTAGCTACACATAATAGTCCACCATACCACCGTTGAAAAGTTTGAAAAAGGAAAGAATATGAAAAAAAGGAGAAGGAGAATGAGATGCTGAACAAAAAGATGCACTCAAAACTGACAGGCAGTACAATAATGTGGAGTAGTGTGACAGTTGAGTTGTCTACTGAGTACTGCCCAATTTGACGTTAATGTTTGCCCCTTTTATAATGTTTCAACTTCGGCAAAAAGAAGAAGATAATGTTACAACTAAATGATTAAGGCTCCAGAACGTAGGAAATAAATTAATTATTAAGCAATCTATCTTCTCCCTATCATCCACTATAAGAATTTTTTTTTGGTAAAACTATAAGAGTTTGTTTTACTTATCTTTATTTTCATATCTAGATTTCTTTTTATAGTGCGATGGATTCTGTAGACATAATTAATAAGTATGATTGAATGTGAAATCATTTCAGACTTCACCTTACCCCAAGGATATTTAGCCAATTTGCTTGATGTGTTGTCTTTTATTAAATATGGTGATGATATCTAGTAAAAGATTAATCTCTCCAATCTCTTATGTTTGTTATATTGTGATTTGTGCATGATAACTTACTCTCCAAATGGTCGATTTCTCCTCAAATATCACATCAAAGACCTTGAGTTTGAGTCATCAGAAAGATGAAAGAAAAAACTGCACGGCCACTAATCATTCAAATAGGATAAGTTTTTGTGTTTCTAGTGTTAACACCATTTTTATCACAGTTGATTTCAAACCATGAAACCAAAACAAAACAAAGGATTGTGCTGTTTTGATATTTCAGTTTTGCTTATAAGTCTTTCGTTTTACATATTACCAGTTGAAAAGTGAATACATTCAAGTTTGGACCATTCTCTTATATATGTGTTTCTGGCTTCGTGGCCCCGAAGGCTAACGTGAACGACCTTATCATCTACACCAAAAGAAAAAAGAAATTTGTAAAATTAATTTAGTGGTGATGACCCTATGCTATAAAATCGAAAGAACCTCCCTTTGTACCCAAGTATTCTTTTTTACGACTTTTCTACAAATTGAATAAATTATTGAGTCACCCAAGTGTATAAAATGAATTGCCTGGTTGCAAACTAAATAAGATTCAATCCGGATGACCTTTTAAAAATATGTATAAATCATTCACGTCATGTTTTTCATATTATATGTTTTACTATTATCATCTTTTCAATATACACAGTACACAGATACTGAATCAATAAGAACTAAAAACGAATATGATTCATAAGAAAATAGTGAGCTATAGGTGTAGTCAGTTTTCTAGTTCGAATCTCAACGTCATGTTACCATTAAAAAAAACATTCACATTGTAAAACTTGAACTTAAAACCTAATACATTATCCTACACATGTTTTCTTATATACAAAATTTACACTGTCACCTATTTATAGTGGATATTAATATTATGCATGGATAACAAAATAATATTACTAAAGAAAGATGATTGAAATATTATTACTAGTTCTAAATTGTGGCATACTGCATACACAAATCTTTTACTAGCTAAAGATTTAGCTTTATAAATTGTATTTAGAAGAAAACGAAAATAAAACTTCTTTAACCCAGTCTCGAAATGTTAGTCCATTTTTTTCATTTTTCTCTTCCTAGGGTTTCTTTTTAATATATAGCATAATTAACTTGGAGTTCTTATAGTGGGTTTCTAGCGGAAGTTACAAAAATATTTTTTTAATTTTTAATTAAAAAATTTAAAACTGGTTCTTAATTTAAATAAGGACTTTAAGAACCGTTTTTAACATTTTCTTAGTTAAAAGTTAATAACCTTTTCTTAACTTCCGCTAAAAACTCCACCCTAAGAATTCTGAGTTAATCATGGTCTAAGACTTGACCGTATTTTATTTTATAACATGATAATATACTTAAATACCTTAGTACAAGAAGAGAAAGAAAGAAAAAAAAATGAGTGAAATTTTGTGGTCCAAAACCTTAAACACTAAGATCCTTCCCTACATTTGTTTTAGGGGTCCTTTTATGTGTGTGTGAGAGAGAGAAAGAGTAATAATTTGCAGAAGAGTATGAGAAGAAGCAAAGAAGAAGGGAAGAGGAGTTTAAGAGAAATGAGTGAGGAAGAAGAAGAGGAAGAGGATACTTTTGTTGATGAAGAAGAAGAAGAGGAGGAGGAGGCTTGGGAGAAGAAGCAGAAAGGCAAAGCTACGAGTAGCAGTAGTAGTAGTACTGGAGCTTGCCAGGTCGAGAGATGTACAGCGGATATGAGCAGAGCCAAACAGTATCACAAACGACACAAAGTCTGTGAACTTCATGCCAAAGCTCCTCTTGTTCGGATCTCTGGCCTTCACCAACGTTTCTGCCAACAATGTAGCAGGTAAAATAATTTCTTTCATCAACTAACTGATCTTCACAACAAGAATGAGAAAATAAGATGAGACTTTTTTTTTTTAACTTTATGTGTGTTTAAAAGGTTTCACGAGATCAGTGAGTTTGATGAAGCCAAGAGGAGTTGCAGGAGACGCTTAGCTGGACACAATGAGAGAAGGCGCAAAAGCACAAGTGAAGGTGAAAGGTCTCAAGATCTTGGTTCTCAAGGTTATTGGAAATAAGCTTTGCTTTCTCTCTTCTGTCAGTCTCTTCTTTTCATCTCCTTGTAATCTTCTGTGTGTGTCATCATAATGCTTGCAATCAAAGTTATGTCATCAATAAATGCTTTGAGTTTAAGTAAATGCTTGAAGAAACATGAGTAAGTCCCTATAAAACTTAGAAAAAGTGTTTATTCAAGCTAAGATCATGAACTAGATCAGGTCTCTTTATAAGTTTTGCAATCAACAATGAGGAGATCAAACTAAAAAAAAATAAAAATTTGGAAGAAACTTTTTGAATCTTGAGATATGTACGTAGTTCTATTACAAGAAAGCTCAGAGACAAAAGCAAACTCTTATACCCATGTCAACCAAATGAACCACCTGATAGATATCCCTAACAACCTAAATGTTCGACTCAACGTTCGTTTTTAGCGGTCGGAAGGAGTGGTGTGTATCTACGGATGTTAGGAACCAAAGAATATGTGTGTCTTGGATCTGCAATCTACACTCCAAGGAAACCTTCAAAGATATTATTAACTGTAACATAATACAAAACTAAAACTAATGATAGCTCCGCCAAACATAGCAGATGGAACGATGATTTCTTCTGGTCGTTTAACCTAAGACAATGACTTCAAGTCAGCAAAAGAACTTGTGTCTAGCCAATCAGCTGAAGATGGATCTTGTAGGATCTCCATTGCCACTATAAAAGTCCAGAGTTTCAAGAACTAAATTTGTTTGCAAGATGGTAGAGTGAAGGTAAATAATATTGCAGGATCACAGCTTGGGGCACAAGGTAGCCCGTTTTTGTATCTGAGAGCCCTTGCACATCTATATTATGTTTCTGGAACTTCACCTCACAGCAGAATAACACAAAATAAAAAAATTATTTTTATGCATGAAAAGCTTGTAAGCAACAACCCAAATAAACCCCAACGGCAGTAGAAGAATCCTCATTGACGTATAGTGATGAAGGATTTTTTTGTCTTTTTTTATTTTAAACATTTACCTTACACTAATGACAGAAGCAGAGATGTTTAAGGACGTTGAGACATTGGAGAGTGAATTCAGTAGCAGACCTAAAGTTTTACACTTTTTATTCAGAATATTTGTTTTGCGGTATCAGTAATTACAAACAAGAAGCCGTCTTAGCTCAGTGGTAGAGCGCGTGACTTTTAATCCCGTGGCCGTGGGTTCGATCCCCACAGACGGCGGATTTTAAGTTTAAAAAAAAACTTAATTTCAACTTTTTAAAAGTGCTGATTATTAATTACCCTCTATAAGATTATTTCCTTCCTTGTACACAAAAACCACAATTGCCTGATATGGCTACATCAGCTTGAGATCTATTCAAGATTTTACTTTGATTCTTGTTGTTCACAAGCCAATGGTGATAATAAGTAACCAATCATTCATGGTTGTTGACACAAGTAACTCATCGAACCATATGATTAATTTGTTTTTGTGGAGTGTAATGAATTTAAGGGTATGAGACCCATCAACCATGGTTTTTGGTATATATAACTTCTTTTTTTGGGGCAAGGTATATAACTTATCTAACATTCATTGATAGAATTATTTAACATCTCTTTCTAGAATTCCCTCTGCCTTCTCTCCAAAAGTTACCATCGCGACAGTGTGTTCGACTGACGGAGTGGGCTCCCATAGCCATTGTTGGTCCGATATTTTGATTTTGTGATTTTTTCTTCGTGTTTGTCTTTATAGAAATGAAAGGAGTCACCTTTTTTTCACTTTTTTATGTTTAGATGGATATTTTCCAGATTTTGGGATGGGAAGGTTTATACAGCTCTGTCGTTGCTGATTTTTAACTCTGGGGGTGGAGGTTTCTATAGCCTTGCGTTGCCGGGTTCTTTTTGGTGGTTTCGAAATTTTTCTCAAGATGTAGTTATTTTCATGTGTTCATCTTGGGTTCAATTGGATGAGATACCGAATATATCGGTTGATGCTCTCTAACGATGAAGATTTGGTGATGAAAATAATGAGATGGAGGCTGTGAACAGGGCTGGTCCTGACCTAAATCTTGGGAAACACCAGCTTTAGGCGCCAAATTATGATTATACTTATGAGCATCAAAACTACCAAAACGTGTATCATAGATTCCTAGTGGTTGTGTGCTGATTAACTGCACTTATGGTGCTTGGTTTGAACAACAGAAGGTGCCAAAATCTGTTTTTGCTTTAGGCACCAATCTAGACTGGGCCAGGCCTGGCTGTGTAGATCTTTAATCATATGTTTGGTGGCTCGGGATGAGATCTCGACGGTGATTGATCGACACTCTCCCGCGAAGAAACTTAGCCGTGGTGGTGTATGTGTTGTCTTTGGTTGGATCCGGCAAAACGCTTCGTGGCTCTCCATGTCAGGAAGGATGGAGAGACTGGACGACACATGTTGTTTGAAGGTGGAACACGCGTATTCGGGGAAGATAGTCGGTTTAGTTGTGGTAATGTTTTAGGTCTCGTTGTAGTGTGAACTCAATAGACTTTGTCGTTTGTTTTGTTTTTAGTATAGGTTTATTATAGACTTTTTTGTATTTTTTTGGTTAGTAAAAATATAAGATGGCAAAAAAAAAAATCTAACATTCATTGATGTGTGTTAGATATGATTTGAATCTTCTTTATTGATAGACAAGTTCCAACTATGATTAAATCACTATCGTAATTGGTTTTTGACACACTAACCATGATTAATTTTTTGCTATATAACCATAGTTGAATGAAAAGTTTCACTATGTTAACCATAGTTAAGTTATTTAAATCATTAGAAGCTAAAAGTTTAATATATCAATTACTTTTACCAAAAAAGAAATATATCAATTACCGAATAGTACAAACATTACAAAAGACAAGAGGACGCCTCGCCACCGTTAAAAACCATCACAGATAATGGAGATCGAACGGTCACTCACAACAAGAAAGAAAAAAGTTGCAAATTCAAGAAAAACACACATTTTTTACATCACCAGCATGTCACTCCACCCTCTCGCTTCAACGGTGCTTGCTCCTGGTATCGTCACTGTACAGCCTGAAAATCACAACGGTCCAAACATCTTAGTTATGGTCTAAACCGTCCGTTCACAACTTATTCGATGAAAACAAAACTTAAGTACGTACCAGTCGTATACGGTGGGAGAGTTGGGGTGAGAAGGCTTGTCAAAGAGGTTAGTGCCCATTCCCCTGGTGGCTATGTTACTTCCTGGATGAAACACACTCCTCCACACGTTCTCCTTACGTGCCGACCCTGGAGTCGTCGGAGTTCCCGGACTCCCCGCCGCCGGGGCAGTCTTACTGCTGCTCCCTTCTCCAATACCTGATCCCAAGATCACATGTTCACATTAATTAATCATGTTTAGAGGTTTACTAAAATATTTATGCATGAGTTGAGTTGGGTTGATACAGATATATGTGTATACCTTTGATGTCTATGGGTTGAGCGGTGACTTTATTGCGGAGACGGCCAAGGCCATGCTCCGGCTTAGGTCCAGCAACAGTTTCATCCCACATCCTTTTCTTTTTGTTGATTTAGTAATGATGGGTGTTGAGTGTGTGTCAGGGGATTCTTTAGATTATTTATAGACCCATGGTAAAACTATTTATGAAAATATCTTCTTTTTTCACCAATAAAATATCTTGATAATAATAAATAATTGAAAAAACATTAAAAGTAGAATTATCTAAGCATGTCGTTAAATTTTTTTAACGTATATTAGACGTATACGTGCCTTAGTTTAAAATAATAATGTGAAATAGATAAAGGAGAGAATCAGAGGGAGCAGTGATGCATGTGGAAATGTAAACAGTACGATGTGGATAGAATCTTCAAGAAAAGTATCCTATCTCCTAAGATAGAGACGGGTATATGGATAAGGACGAAGAGTCATGTAATGGGACCCTTCAATGAAAGTAACCTATCTCCTAAAGATTTTCGTGGAAAAGTATTATAGGAACAGCAAATGTATATCATCATATTTTGTCGAACACTAGAAACATATAAAGTAAATTATTCAGAAAAATTACAAGCCTCACGGGACAATTCTAGTGGAGAAGCCAAGATACATGGGAAGGAATCCTTTGGAAACGTGGGATAAGTATTACTAAGGATGAATGTGGCCTAGGCTTCAGAGACTTGAACATACACTTATTGGGGAAACAACTCTTGGAGGTGTTGAAAGAATCTTCTGCCCAGAGTCTATGAATGCAAGTATTTCACTAAAGGATCTCTTCTTACTGCCACATTAGGAGTCATACCTTTTGCTTGGAGAAGCATCCTCCAAGTTCAGGATCTGATGAAAGTTGGAATACTCACATGAACATTTGAAGCTCTTAATGTTCAAAGAAGAGGAGAGTGGTGAATGGAAATTACCACATCTGAGGGCATGTTCTGATCCTAACGAGTAATGACTAATCATGCAGGTAAGACCTGGCAATTCTAATACAGAGTATGCTATCCCTTGGGGCTATAACCAAAATGGTCAATACACAGCCAGGAGATGCAAAATAAAGTTAGGATCCTGCATCTGTGGGATCTTAGAACCAAGTCTTCTGCGTACAAAGCACTATGGAAAGTGAAACCCCACCAAAAGAATCTTCAATTTTCTACGGAAGTGCTTATCTAATTGCTTAGCTGTTGCCAAAAGTATGGCAGAAAGGAGAATAACAGAGGAGAGGAGTTGCAGTCAGTGCGGTTAAGAAGAAGAGACAGGCAACCGTCGTCTGTCTCAATGCCCCTCTGCAAGGGTAGTTTGGGCTGCTTCTCCTGTCATTGTTGTGTTCTAATGTATATCCCTGTGTATCAATCTAGCCAAATGCCTCCTCTTAGTCTCTTACAAGTGATCAATGATAGAATTAGATCCAGACTACTTCAGAGTTTTTTTTCAAAATGCATTTTGCTTTTCGGGTTCAAAACTCTCAGCTCTCCAAGTCGTCCAAGTGTGGGACTTGGGAGCATCATTCTGGCAAGCATACAAAAGGGGGCATGAAGATCCTTAGACCTACCCACATACCCAAATGGTGCCCACCTTCCTCAGGTACTACTTATAAATGCAACTTTAACACTTCTTCATACATCTTTATTGTTTGAAGGAACATAAACTAATCATTCTGCGGATAAACTTCCTATGTTTGATATCTATCATGTTGTGCTAGGTTGTAGTACTCCTACTTGGCTAATGCCATGTAAGGAGAACGAGAAAAATACTCAGTATTAATCTCTTAAGTGATGTATATTTGGGAAGAAAAAAACTTCAAGCATCTACCAGTAATGACATAAGCCTATGCTTAAACAGCTCTCAAATTAATCACTACCAATCTGTATTGTACGCAAACAGAGAAACATAGTCAAGATGATCGAGTGCGTACCTTTAACATTATTCCGTTTCTTTCTCTTTCCCCTTTCACCTGCTTCCGAAGCAAATACCAAACAGACATAACTAGAATCCTCTATCTCATTATTGCTATAAGATTACAACCAATAATAAAACAATATATTTCTTACTAAGAGTGAAAAGCTGTTTTTAAGCATAAATTTGAAGAGTTTTACAACGCATACACAATTCCTCCACAGAGCTCCAGTTCCAGCCTTCTTCCACTATTGGTAAGGGATAAGAATGGAGATGCAAAAAATAGGCGCAAGTCCTAATTGAGGAAAAGAAAGATGCCATAATTTACAAAACATCATCAACTTGCGCTCATGCCACCGGTGTTACCTGGCATTTGATTTGATGCTACCTGAGGGTTTAGGGTGGGGTTTACCATACTTTTCGACGTACCCCTGCAAATGAACAGAGTAAATTTTAGATTAATGTGATACTTACAGCTAAGGTTTATGTACCTGCTAAGAAACTCACCTCTACCAGCTTCACAATTCTAGTTGAAGACATACTAAGATACTTCTCAACTGATTCGTTGTCAGTCGGCACCTGATGTAACTGGACAGCAGCGCTGACTATCTTTTCAGTAGCTCTTTTAACTATCATGTTATGCACATCTTTGGTAAAACGGCCTTCACGCCACAGGGGTTTTAACATTTCTTTAATGTTTTCCACAACTGCAGTCCTGAATTGTCTCATTACTTTTGTTCCGGTGTCCGACCTCACTTCCCCATCCATCTCATCTGTTTTCAACATCTTTTGATGTGACGACCCATCACTTCTATGCCAAGATCCATGCCTTACAGGTTTGCTTGTTTTCAAAACAACTTTATTCTCAACAGCCGCCGATGAAGATACCTCTTTGCTTGGTGTTGTTTCATCATTTTGATCAACCACCGAAGTTGCCACTCCTTCCACTACTCCATGTGCTTCCAAATTTTTCCTCGCCACAGTTTCTTGGAATTGATTTTGGCTGCATGAACTGTTTTTATCGTTACTAGCCGATTCACCATCTTTCTGCTGGCAGGACTTTTTCTGTGCATCTTTGCCTTTACTTGACGATGGAGCATTAAGAGATTTGTCCTCTGGATTCTCTATATCCGTGAAAGGGTCGTAGAGAGCATCAGACGAGGGAAGTATATAAGGTGGAATTGTGAAAGATGGTCGAAAAGGTTCAGAAGGTTCCCAATCACTTAAAGAAACTTTCTTCGTGTCGCTAGTCGTGTCGACTTCTGCATCTTGAACTGATGAAGCAGATATCGCTTGCTCCGTTGGTAGTGATCCAGATCCATTTATATCATTCCTATTTTCAAAATTCCCAAAGGGAGAAGCATACTGATTCAGGGGAGCAGAACTGAACACGGATCCTGTCCAGGCTGGTCCAGAAGATCCCATGTCTGTTTGTCTATTGGAAGTGATAAGAGATCCATTTTCTTGAACAAAGTTGCTTCTCAACGGGAAGGAACTGATGCTGTTACCCAATACAGGCCTGTTATCAGTGAAAACAGTAGCACATTTTTGTAGACTACCTCTTCCCATGTTTTCCAATGAAGGCATAAAGCGCATCTCGTTCGTGAAAGGGAGGACTCTCTGACCAGCCGGGGGATTCACCAAAGATGTCACGCCATTTGTGCTTAGCATAGGAAATCTTATACCTTCTTTGCTCTCCAGCGGTCTTCTTTCTGAATAAACATAAGTGAAATAAATCACTAGTTGATTCATAAAGAGCAACTAAACCACCTAGAAGATTCACAATCTCTAAAGAATAAACTCTCTCATACTACATGTACCTTCAACAGACTGGATACCACTAGTTCCCGCCATATTATTCACCACCTGTTGCTGACTACTGCGATTCATATTCTCATTCACATGAAGAAACCTGCAGGAGTTCCCTTTGGTACACCGCCCTTGAGCAAAAAACTTGCAGGGATATGCTGGACGTTTTGGTTCTGGTCCATTCGCCGGCGGAAAGCTTTGCACCGGAGCAGGAAACCTGAAAACCAAATCCATCAGTATAAAAATCTCCAAACATGCAAAACACAACAGAAGATCAACAACCTCTCTACACTAACCTCCTACTTAGCTTCAGTAAAGAAACATAACGCAGAAAACTTTGCTATACCTTGATAAAACCGTGCCCTTTTGACCTTCCAGCATAAGTTTATTCCCATTATTCCCAGAAAAATTAGGTTCTAAATATCCGTTTATGATCTTTGATTGTTCTGGTCCATTCACAAACGGAAAGCTTTGTGCTGCCGGAGCGGGAAATCTGAGACTGAATCAAAACACAGAAGCTCAAACCTCTCTACAACAACCTCCAATGTTCAGTAAAGAAACACAAACCTTGGTAAAACTGTGCCTTTTTCACCTTCCAGAATTAGATTCTTCCCAGTATTCTGAGGAAGGTTAGGTTGTAAGTTTCCATTTATGATCTTTGATTGCTCATCTGAATGCTTCTTCACATCTACATAAGACAAGTTAAAAATCATATGTTAAAAGCAAGATACTGTTGAGCTAAATCTAGTTAATACCTACATAGGACAAGTTATATCATACGGTAAAGCTAAACCTAGCTAATCTCATTAGCAATTTCTCTAATCTAGAACAAAACGATGCGTTTAGATTCTCGCCTGCTAAGAACATCACAACAGAGAGTCAATTCCAATTGCAATTAAACCAAAGAGGTGTTTCTCCACCAATTCAATTAAATTAAACCAAATCACGGAATCAGAAACACTAACCGTTTTGGGAATTTGAAGGTTCGATTGGTGTAGCAAGCAATCGAGATTCTCCCGCAGCTGTGGGTTGTTGAACCTGAACTTGGACCTCGTCATCGTCAATGTCCATATCTGAATCAGACATCTTAGAGAATTCCGGCGAGAGGCGACGGTGGTGGTGATTCACTGCGGCGTGATCGGAGATTAAACCAAAGCTCAAGCGAGTCTCTCTCTCGAGGCTCTCTGATCTCCGAGAATACGTTTGGTATAGCGACTTGCGAAACAAAGCGCTCATACGACACCGTATTAGTTTATTTTTATGGGTCTTCCTGATATCTATCTTATTAAAACTGAAATATAAAACAAAGTTTTCCTATTTTCAAATGATTTGTTACAATTTTTACATTTCCTTTTTTAACTTATTTCAACCACTTCATTCATTGTATTTATTATACACTAGGTGATCTTCCCGTGCTCATGCACGGGCATAAATATTTATAAAATAAAAAATAATTTATATAATTTACATTAATAATATTGTATTATTTTAATTATATATATGATTTTAGATATGTTATATTTAGTTGATTTTTTTTGTTTTTATAGTCGATTTAACCTTACATATTGGACTCCATATATTTCTCTGAATTCAACTATAAAATTTTATTTTATTTTAAATATATTAAGTTGTTTGTTGTCTTAAAAATATTTCAATAATACTAATTATAATTATTATTTTTATGTTAATTACACATACAGTAGAACCTCTATAAATTAATACTTGATAAATTAATATACACTAAATATCTCTATAAAATAATATAATTTTATAGTCCCAAATTGAGTTTTTGGTTCGATTAGTATATCGATAAATTAATACCTCTCTTAATTAATAAAAAATATAAAATTTTGGTGTAATCCCAACATTATTAATTTATAGAGGTTTCACTGTATATCAGTTTATGTTACTTAATTATTTTATGTAACTAAGAAAATAGATAGATATATAAAAACAAATTTTATTACTTTGAAAAGATATATATTTTATTGTTTATAATTATTTTTGTAAAGAAAAAATATTTCTTTTTCTAATATCATGAAGATTATATTTTTTGTAGTTTTGATACATTATCTACAAATATTTTTTTTTTATCTAAGAAGATATAGATTTAAGGAAAGTATTTTTTATGTTATTTAAAATATATATTTAAATTAAATATTACTATTTTGTAAACTTTCCATTTTTATGAAACCAGATTTATATATACGTATATTTTCGTTTTTAAATAATTTTGTAAACTTTATACATGTTTCCTTTTTATTTTATATTGTTATTTAGAAATTTTTTTAAGGAAATAATAATATTTAAATGTATTTTTTAATTCATTAGGGGTATCATAGTAATCAACCAGCGTGAGAGTTAACGTGAACGCGACACATAAGAAAGTGACTTCTCAAATAATATTATAGAGATACTAGGTGATTTTCCCGTGCTCATGCCCGGATATGAATATTTATGAAAGTAAAATTTTATAATAATTGACTGATTTTTAATTTTAGTTTTGAATCAATTTATATGTATAATTTATATTAATAAATATTGTATTATTCTAATTATACATATGACTTTAGATATATTATTGTCGGTTTAGTTATTTTTGGATCAATAGTCGGTTTGGTTATCAATTCGGTATATTTGATAATATCTATTTTTTCGAATTCAGCTACAATATTTTGTATTCTAAATATAAGAAAATTTTGATTAATTTTCTTATTTTCATTTCGGTTGGTTATTGTATTTAGATATGTAAATATATTTTTTGACCAAAAAAAGATATGTAAATATATTCTTAGATATGTAAATATATTATAGTTAAATTATGCATAACTTAATATATATTGTGCTTAACATGAAATAAATAATAAGCTGAAGCGTTTGATTCAAAATTACATAAATGAATATAATGATAATATTTTGAAATCTCATGCATATATAGAAATGCTAAAAGGAATTAAATTGTAATGGTTTAATATTTCTTTTTTCTTTTTAATATGCTTTGAGTCAACCTCTAATTTATATGTATAAATTTAAATATATTATTATTATTGTTATTATAAAATTATATGTACTTATTGTAGTTAGATGTCTAATTTTGGATATAAATTAGATTAGCCGAGTCCTTCATTTTGTGAGTATATTGAGTTAAACATTTTTTAAAATTAAAATTGAAGTATAGTTACTTTTTATTTTAGTTAAGTCAAATCAAGTTAGTTTTATTTATTGCTTAAATATACATATATTTTCATAATATTTATTTACTCTTTATTTTAGTTAAATCAAATCAAATTAGTTTTATTTATCGCTTAAATATACATGTATTTTCATAATATTTATCAAATTTTATATTGATTTCTAAAAAATATTAGAAAATAAAGTGTAACTGATAAATTTTTGGATGTTCATGAACATATATATTTTTATTATTTTGAAAATATATTTTATGTTATTAATGGGGATATTACTATTTTGTGAACTTTCCTTTTTAACAAAGTCATATTATATACATGTATATTCGATTTTAACTTTTTAAAAATGTTTAGAAATATTTCCTTTTTATTATATATGTTATTTGGAAAAAGGTAAAAAAAAAACTAAATAAAAAAATAATCTTAAAATCTTAAAATTCATTAAGGGTATCTAAGTAATCAACCATCGCGAGAGTTAACATGAGTGCGACACGTAGGAAACTGACTTCTCAAATAATATTATAGAGATTGATAACATTAATCTAAAATATTAATTATCAATTTTATTAAAATCAAACATCTGCTCGAACGGGTCAAAATCTAGTTTATTCTATTAGAATCAAAGTACAAAACAATTTACCTATTTTAAAATAAATTATTGGAGAAATAAATAATAAAATATACCTATTATAAAAAATTTATAATTTTTTTTTTAATTTTCTCACTCTTTTTAGCAACTTCTTTAATTTTTTTTACTATAATATCTCGACATCATTTATTTACATAATAATTCGAGGGCATGTTTGAATGAAATTGCTATATTTGTAAGAAGAATTGAAACTGATTAACAAAGAGTTTTTTTATTTGTTTACATAATCAATTAAACATAAACATTTGTTATCCATTCAGATATTAGTGGTTGTTTTCGGTAATGGATTTTTTATTTATTTTGAAGTTAAATTTTATTAGGATATTATAAATTTTTGAGTGGGTTTCGAGTCGAATCTTACTTGATGGATTCAGTTTTTAAAACCTTAAAGTGTCAAATATATCCAAAACACATTTAAATATTTGTATTAAAAGTAATTATATTAACCGATTCGATTTTGGTTTGAATATACTATTCAATTTGATTAAAGTTCAATTATGATGTATATAAATTTAAAAATATTCAAATACTTATATAATTATTTATATAATAAAATATATAATATTAATGATAACAATAAATAGCAATTTATAAACGATAAAAATTAACATTCATATGAACGTGTGAATCAATCTTTATTAATTAATTACAGCTACAGATGATGTCTCTAACCAAAAGAGAACCAAATTGAAATGGTGTAATAATCGTAACCACAAATTTCTCTAGTACAATTTAGACATTAGGAATTAAGAAATGTTCTCTTAGACCATTTCTCTAATCTAACCAGTCTAAAATGCTATCTAAATGTCTTTTTAATCGGTAAATCGAATTTTATATCTCTAATCTAACTAGCCTTGCGTCATTTATATCTTTCTAATCGATAAATTGGATACAAACAAAACTATTTTCTCAAACCGATTTTGTTTGAGGTATTTAACCAACAATCTTTTATAAGATGTCTAACCATATGGTCTAACAATTTTTTAGAACTTTGAATCAACCAATAGTGATGTTCTTAGTTTTCAGTGTTTTTTTTCCTTTTGAATTTAAAATTAAAGATATGAGAAAAAATAGTAAATTCCATCTAAAGGAAGAGACGTTTCACCACCATAAAGTCCTTTCTCTCTAAAGCTTTCTTCAATCAAGAGATCAAAAACTTCACAGCAACACAGAGAGAGAGATAGAAAGCACATCATCCATTAATCTTCTTCTTCCAAAGATGTCTTCAGCTCCAACGTCATCAAACACCACCGACAATTCTCAGCAAAAACCCCAGGAAAGAAACGGACCACCTCCACGGCGTCGACAGGGGAGAAACCCTCCGCCTCCAACACGTACTCGGTATCAGCAGACGACTCAGGGGGGCACGCAGGAGAAGAAGAAGCCTGTGTTCGTCAAGGTGGATCAGCTCAAACCAGGCACGAGTGGTCACACTTTGACTGTTAAAGTCGTGGAACAGAACTCAGTTCCTCAGAAGCCAGGCGTTGCTTCTTCTCACCAAAGACCCGTTAGGATCGCTGAGTGTCTCGTCGGAGACGAGACTGCTTCTATTCTCTTCACTGCTCGCAACGATCAAGGTGAGTTAGTGAAAGGTTGAATCTTTTTGTGGTGAGAAGTCAAAAGTTGAATACTTTTAGTTAATTTGTTTGATTTGGTTATTTAAAGTGGATTACTTGACTCTGTGATGGTCGTACTTGGTGGTTGGTTAATACTTTTTGCTGGGTGTAGTGGGCTTGATGAAGGTAGGAACTACTGTGAATCTCCGGAATGCGAAGATAGATATGTTTAAAGGATCTATGAGGCTTGCTGTTGATAAATGGGGTCGCATTGAGGTTATTGAGCCGGCTGACATTGCTGTGAGAGTGGACAATAATTTGTCTCTTGTGGAGTATGAGCTAGTCAATGTTGAAGGATGATGATCTCGAACCCTATGTCTAATTGGTTATGTATCAAGGGCCAGGATGAGTGTTGGTCAAATGAACAAGGGTGGGAGTTATGTTTTGATCTTATGATGTTGCAAGTTTGCTATTTATCCACCGGTAGGTTTATAATACTGATCTCAAGTTGTCAAGTTGTGGATGCTTTTGTAACTCTTCTCTCTGTTTATGTTTGGTCTTTGAGGCTTGAACAGAGAAGTTAGTGAAAAAGAATTTGTTAAAGAGCTTATTGTCTTGCCATCAGTCAAATACAAGAGTAAAAAAAGAAGCATGAATCGGGACTAAGTGGTCATCTGTGGCTTTGGTTTTATATATCTGGAATTGAACTAGTTGGTCCTTGAAAAATGTACTGGACACTCTTATATAAGTTAAAAAGGCAGATTTTATGACATAAGAAGAAACATGACTCGATTTACTGTCAACTTCAGATTCTTTACATAGAAAAACCTTCACTTCAACATCTTGCCTTCAACTGCAGCCATTCCCACACTTTCCATTTGAAAATCATCATGCATCATCGATGATACCTGAAGCAAATAGAACACATCAGTATACAGAAAAAATAACTGGGTATGAATATGATTAGAGAAAAGACATGTTCCAAGATTCATGAAAGTTTATATCTGGCATTCATTCATGTGAAACACAATCATAAGAAAAATCCGAAGACTTTTTCCCAAAAGATAAAAGCTTTTCCGTAAAGAGAGAAACTATGGATCTCCAGCTTTGATCTAAAATACTCAAGGGTTCTAATGAGTACATTAAAGTTTTACCATTTTTATTCGTTTAAGATCTAAAATAGCTTACATCACTCTTGTTGACTGTCCTTCAGTTATCATCTTTCCCTAGAAAAGAAAAAGTTGACAACATTCATTGTATGCAAAGAAAGACACTTGAGGTCTATAGGTAAGAGCCGTGAGATTCACTATTCTCCCTGGACTTTATCAAAACTAGTCATTACTCAAGCAAGATTAGGAAAAGTAGTAACAAGAAATTACATGGTAAACATAGTTCCCTACAACTCCAAGTTTCATGCATAAGTTGCTAACAAGGCTAAAACTAAAGAAGAGAAAGCGTAACAGTAACACACAACTATTACAATGTCAATGAAGAGTTAAACCATTAGCTAATGGTAGTAGAGAAAGAAGAAGACGAATGAGAATTTACCTCCTCCGAGTGTCCAAACAGAGCAACGTGGAGAAACAGAGAGCATGGAATTGAGCAAGGCAGAAGCAGTGGCCGTGTGGTACGGAAGCATCGTCTCCACGCAGCAGCTCAATGCTACCGGAGATCTTCTTTTTTGCATTTCGGAAATAGATAAATCAAAAATTAGCTAAACAGAGACGTAATCGAGAAAGAAATGTGTTTTTTTTTTACCTGAAAACGCTGTGAGAGAGTGGGCTCTGTTTAGGCATCTTAAACGAAAACCGTGCAGCAGACGGCATAGGTTTTGGCGATCGAAATGCTGCAGCGGCTGCTCGGCCGGCACCGGAACGGAGGAAGGACCTGGCGGCGGACATTGAAAGTTTTGGTTTCGGAGGAAGACAACTTTGGGCTTAGCGTAGGGTTTTGACTTTTGGAGTATTGACTATATACTATTATCTATCTATCAATTATCTTAAAAAAATGATTTTGCTACTATTATTAAAAACTGATTTTACTACTACTATTTAAAATGTGATTTTGTTAATTTATCATTTTCTCCGTAATTTGAAAACTAGTTTATTAGTTTTAATAAATATTTTTATTGACGAAATTCAAAATAATTAATAAATAGATATTCATAAATTTTACAGATCACAGATGAAGTAGATTAGCTTTCTGCCATCATTTGAGTTCACATACCTCAGAACTAACATGGAGTGGTTGCATTTATCATCATTTATAACACACAAACAATGCGAGTCTTTATTCTCATTTTTATTTGTTTGCTTGTTTTGAATACTCTTTTTTGCTTTGTTCTTGTTGTTTTCTTTAGTTGTCTTTGTTCATTTCTGATTTGAAATGTCTCTAGGTATGTAGAAAACCTTTGTTCAAACATGATTCTTATACGTGCATTTTTCTGTAGCCAATACATGCCACCAAAGAAATAACACCAGAACCAGAAACATCAATCAAAGAAAATACTTTTTTCATAACTTCAACCTAATAATAAAAAACATCCTTGCAACGAAGCAACCAAGTTTACAAAAGTCATCAACTTGTGACATCCGAAAGTTAGCTAGCAAAGTCATCTTCATAATAATAAATCGAACTAAAGTAAACACTTACTTAAGCCACAAGCAAACAAAAAACACACATAAAACCAAACAAACGCTAGAGAGCAATGTCTAGCAACATATCTCTCATTCCATATATGTCCCTTCCCTGTGAATGATGATGACTGCTTTGAACAGCAGAAGCACCACCTCTTATTGAACTCCCATTTTGCCCTTCAACACAAGGAACCGCCGTGGTCTCATCCCTCAATGGGAAACCGAACAGCCTGCACCTGCCTGAACCTCCATGGTGATCTTCCAGACCGCTCGAGGGTGATGATGATGACACGTTGACTGAAGATGGAGGGAGGATACGTGTACTAAAGTTCTGGAACGGACCACACCAAATGTTCCTCTGGCTCATCATCCCCTGGTGCCGATGATGATCGGTCATTGGGTAAGCGGGAACTGTTTCTTGACCTTGCAAGACCTTATGGAACCCATAAGAGTCAACGAAGTCCGTTCCTTTGAACCGGCCTCTCCTGGCACCAGCACCACCATCCGAAGAGGTGTTGATGAAACCCGTAAACATTTCTTGACCTTGCAAGACCCTCTGGAATCTTAGAGATTCCTCAAAGTCCGTGGCGCGAATCCCCTCTGAAACAGAAGCAGAAACCAATGAAAACGTTGAAGAGAATTATATAAACAATGTGTGTTACCACTTACCAGAGACAGGAATGTCAGGCTTTCCTGAGGAAAAGCCAATCCTGCTTCTCTTGGGACCAGTTGTTACGAAGCTGCCTGAGCTGGAGATTGAACCAGATGGTTCTATCTCCCATGGTGAGAGGCGCTGTTGATGCCCATTTGACTCCATGTCATCCCACCTTACCTGAATATGACGTCAAAACATAGTTTCAGTACTAGCACATGGGACAATAAACAAGAACATAACACATAGCTTACCAGAAGGCATCTCCATTTTGAACCAGGCCACCTGATAGGATCCAAGTCGCTGATGCCAGTTATAATCCCAGGGGATCTGACAAAACAGAACAAAACATTTTAGAATGACGAGAAAATATAACACATGTGTTGCCAAAAGTTCTCCTAAAAGCATGAGCTATAACCTTCTCTCGGAGGCATCTTCAGACTCAACCCTTGCTTTGAATCTCATACCAATACAAAATGGATAGTCAACAGTCTTCAAGAACTTTGGTGCTGGGACTATGAAGTTTGACCAGCTTGCCCTGAATAGGTTTTACCCATTGCAATTCCATTATACAAGTATTAATACACACTTCAACTGCTTTTAACAAACACCATATATTACTAAGATTTGGTTTAGAAAACTCCAAGGCAACAATCAACTAATGCAATACACAACTAAGGCCTGAAGAAGTGAGGATTGTGATTATTAGATGTAAACTGAAATTTTAAAATGTGAAACTATTGTGATTGGAGCTTACTTGGGGTTGTAGTAAATGTTGAAAGCGCTATTGGTAGAAATGGCATGAGCTACTTCAGCGAAGTTGTTGTGGTTCATATTCTGATTATACTGACTAGAGAAAGCAGAAGAAGCGCCTTCTATTTGAGAAGCTCTTCTGACTCCCAAGCGCAGTTTACCATCATCACCTCTAAATTAGAGAAAAACCATAAGGTTCAAAGAGGATTTTTATTTGCAGCAAGAGAAGAGTAAAAAGTTTGCTTATTACCTGAGGAAAAGCACAGCATCTCCAGAGACAAGCTTCTTCTTGTTCACAAACGCACTCCACCCAGTAGTAAGCAAATGCCTCCTAGGTTGCCCTAAAAAAAACTCAAACCATCAAAATATTTTCATCTCGTCTCAAACAAGCAAGAAGCAACATAAGGCAACAAAATTTACCTCGATAAATGTGGCGAAAACGCCACTCCAGACCATGAAGATCCCTTGCAAGAAGCTCTTGAGAAGGCCTGGGCTGGCTATAGTCCTACACAACGGTATAACTTCACAACTAAATCTCTAAATCTCTCACTACAAGCTTATAAAAGAACAACTAAACCCCTGAATCGTCTCACAGAAAACATTACGCAATGCAAAGAGATGTTTAGTCTTACTACAGAATCTACAGAGAGTATGTAAGTAGTACCAGAGGAGGGAAGCAATCCTCAGCAGCACGGCGAGGAACAGAGAAGCCACCATGGGTACTTGTATCAGAAGCAGTGAGGGTTTTGCAAAACATGTGAGGAGTATTAGTCCTCTTAAGCACCTCATAATCTTCCTCTCCACCGTCAACATCTATCACTCCCTCACGCACCTTCCTCTCAATCTCCTATAATAAACCAACTCAAAATCTCTAAAACTTTTCCAAGACTCAACCTTCAAAGAAAACACTCACCTCAGACTCAGGAAGCAGAGAGACTTGAGCATACACTTCATCAGTATCTGTCTCTGCCTATAAAAACCAAACCAAAGTTTAAAGAAACTTCAAAATACATATAACACAAGGCGCAAATCTCCAAACAAACAAAAAGAGAATTTATTTTTTCTCTCCCCCAAGAAACAGAAACAATAAATAAAAATAAAAAAAAAGACAAAAGCTTTTATATATAAAAGAGACAGACATACGTGAAGCTTGACATCAAGAATACGACAGAACACGTGAGGAGGAAGCCCGTAAATCGCGGCGGAGAAATCGGGGGCTTGTTCCAAATGTCCCTGAGGGAAATACAACACAAGACTTCCTCTTTTCGGGAGAGAGATGAGGGGTCCAGCACAAGCGTGCCACAGCTCCAAACACACCCCAGAAGACGAGCTTCTTGAAGGAGAAGAAGAAGACCCACTCACACCAAACACAGAAGCTGAAGATGAAGAATCACAAGGAGAGAGAGAACCAGAGCCTGAAGACGGTTGTGTTTCTTCTTCTTCTTCCTCCGTCACGTTCAGATCGATTAATCCACCCATCAGAGAGAGAAAGATAGAGAGAAAAGAGAATAAAAAAGAGATAATAAAGATAAGAGCTTCTTTTTTATTTTATTTCTTCATGACTTGGAAACTTTACCCTCTGATGAGTAAAGAGAAGCACAGTGATGAGGCGAGTGAGTCTTAAAAGGTTTGATTTTTTAAAAAAGTTTTGATTTTTAATTTTTATTTTTGGACAATGTTTAAGAGGAGAGAGAGAGTGTGAGGATCAGAACAGAACAGTACTGAGTGCTCTCTGTGTAGTACAGTGTCTTCTGCTGCTACGTCTGGTGACTGATGTGTGTGGTGTGTGTGGCTTTTAGACCTTTTGTGCGTGGTGTGATTAGATTTTTTTTGATAGATTGGTTTCTTCTTCTTCTTTTTCTCTTTTTTTTTATTACACAACGGTTTCTTTGCAATGTTGGTAATAATACTATTGGGTTTTACAGATGTACTTTACACAAGTGTTTTTTTATTACACAAGTATTAATGATTATACAATAAGATCTGAAAGTATATTGGTTTAACTAACGTCTTTTAACAAGTGTCATTTATATCTTTTTGTCGTCTCTTTGAATTGTTTTTTTTTTTAATTTCTTATGGTATAGAGGGATGTTAAAAGAATGATTCGTTAGTGGTGACATACTTTTAGGGATCGATGCACACAAGTGATTAGTTTAAGTTATTCCCTCATTATTAAATAATCTTTTTCTTACTCATGAATCATTTACCATAGCGAGTTCATATGTGTACAAAAACAAAACAAAACAAAAAAAACAGTTCACGTGATTTTTTGTTTATATGAGATTTGGATTACCGTGATTATATATTACAGTAGTTGGATAGTTTACTGGATTGCTCCACTACAAATCACTTCTTCCCTGGTTTGAATAAAAAACTTCTAGCATATGAAAAGAATAACTTAGAGATTTTGAGCAAGTAACTTTCAAACACTTACAAACGTATAAACTTAAAAGAATATATCATCGTGTGAACAAATATTTATTTACCATAAACGATACCCGAAACCGCAACCAACAAGAATGACAACGAAGGAGACAACAACGACAGAGACGTTGATGAAGACGATGGCATGCAAGAGGATGAGGTCTTTGTTTTCTATTGATTTGTCATTTTCTGATTATTGTTTTTATTTATTTTAAACAACTATAAGTTTTTATTAACTATCCATCATATCACCTTTATTTATGATAATCGTATTTTGATTAGTTGTACTAACAGAGATTTGTTTCGTTAATAATAGTAATACAAATAGAGATTTGTTCCTGAACCTATAAAGTCATCATGTATTCAAATAAACCAGCCTACTTTAATTGTAACAAAAGGAGAATTATTGCGTATCTACAAAGTAGGGTCACATAAATGGTACATGTTGGGATAATCAGAAGGTAGGGAT